CAGCCAAGAGAATAACTGCAGAAAATGTAACAATGGATTTAAAAAAATAAAAGAGAAAAGGTAAATTAAAAAGCATTATTGCGCTGACAGACAGCAGTAAAATGAGAAAGATAGATTGGGAATGACAGTAACAGACAAAAACAAAGTGAAAGAGAAAACATGGGAGAGAAAAGAAAAATAAAAGGAAGGGAGACAAGGTGTTCTCCCTGGGTAGTGTGGAGCAGGTCTTGTCCAATAAACACAGGTGAGCAGCTCGACAGGCCAGGACCACCATGCTGACTGACAGGCTGAGAGCTCTCACTGACCGCCAGCTTTATGGTACATGACATGAGGAGAGCAACTCAACTGACAGAGAAACTGCATGCACCTCTCAGAGTGTGGGAGGGAGAAGTTTTAGTGAAAACACACACAGACACCCATACCTACTCGTGCACACACGGCTGGTTTAAAGTGGCATCCACGCACTGTGGCCACAAAGTTGCAAACAAGAATGACCACTCACACACACACACACACACACACACCTAGACAGGAGGAAAGCCATGCCATTTCCCTTCACAGGTGAGCAGAATAAGGAACACCCCAGTGCTTCAGTTACTTAGTGAGAGAAAGTGAGAAGTTGTAGGACGGGGGGTAGAATGTATGCTGTGTGCCGACTGAATCGTTTCCACATGACGGGCCTCGGGCTGTTTTTGTCAACTGCACTCTTGAGCAGCAAGGAGTCAGGTAGTGTGACCACATGATTGCCCAAGAGGCAGTGCAGTGAGAGAGAGAGAGAGAAATGGGGAGAGCAAGGGAGTGAAAGGGAAGAGAAAAGCAGAGAGAGTGAGAAGGACTGGGGCCGGGGACAGGACCGATGCAGCAGGCATGATGAGATGTAATCACAAACCCCATTCAGAGTGCAGTGGAGTTTGTCAACATACACACATTCATATTCCACTGTCTGTCAGCTCTATGACCCAAATCGAGCATGCTGTGCAAGTGTGTTTTTCCACACACACAGATGTTTACGCCCATTTTGCCTCCAACCAGGTAGTAACAGTTGCACTGTCTAGGCTTGTGGTTTGTATTGGGGAAGTCAGATTCCAAGCTCTTGTTGGATTTCACTGCAGCCTGTATCCCTTTACAAGCCACAATCAAATGATCATTATGAACAAAGGACTTGGCTTGATGCATCCAGAGTAAAAGCTTTTTCACTGGCTGTGACTGTGTGGTTTGATTTGAAACTTTTACATGGGGAAAAAAAAGGAAAAAAAGGTGGGAGCAGTATCTCATGATGAAATCTCAAAAATGTCAAATACAATAAAATGTGTCATTTTCAAAATAAATACAGTTAATGAAAAAGTGTTTAAGACAATTAAACTTTATAAAGAAATATATTCTGTGTAACACTGATATTGTCATTCTATTTAAACACACACGAAAGAATGTGGAATAAAACAAACAAAGTATGTTTATGATTAGTTAAAACAGCGTAAGCCTTATTTTAACACAGGAGGCTAAAATCCCTTTGTCATAATTTCTTATGAGGCTGTAGACGGTACCAAAACAGAGATGTGTTTCCTAGAAACTAATTTCTATCCACTATATATAGTATGTGACAATATTAGCGTAATGTTTGCGCTTTGGTAGATTTAGTTTATGTCAGAGTGACCATAGCTCTGTAGAACACTGGGAACTGTGAATATAGAGCTACTGTATGTGTGCAGGCTGAAAAGTGAGGCTGTGTGGCAGTCTGATGGCAACACAAGTTCAATTAGTCAAGCCAATCAGCATTTAGGCCTTGGGAGAAGAATGCACGACTGTGTGCGACCGATTCATTGGACACGATCACCTGTGAGTGAAGCCACTCATAATTCTTCCCACCTGAAATGAGGAGTTCAAACTAATGTCAGGCCGCTCTGATGTCATGCCTGCCTCGGGTTGGGTTTCACAATAATCGCAGGCTCTTGGAGAGATGCCAGTCAGTCCAGCTTCTGCACCCAGAATTTCTCCAATTAAGTTGCAGGGAAAGAATAACACATGGAACACTAGACCTCTGCTAGTTTATAGAAATCAAGCTGGTGCATGCAGTACTTGCAATCAGTCGTTTCCAGAGTATCAGTCATCTCTAATATGAGGTCTACTGCCCAAAATATGCTGAGGCCACCTCTACTGAGGGCAAATGTAGACCGGCCCCAATTTTTTATTTTTCCAAAATCATACTCTTCTGCAAAATAGCACATAATTTTGGCATTTTAAAAAAACAAGTAGATAGAGACAGAGTAGGGGAAAGACAAAGAAAGAAGAATAGCATAGGCACCCATGAAGATCAATAGACTCATTGAGCCTCTTTATCGTCTCCTTAAGGAATGATTGCAATACTCGGTCTGTGCCATCTCACCTCCCTCTCTTTCTAACTGAATTCTCATGACAACTGTGCACTCTGGACAAACACTCTTCATGCAATTTCTTTTCTTCACTATCTACCATGCACCATCTTTTGTTTTTCTGTTCTGAGCTTAACTCCCTTCTCTTTCACATCAGACTCAGTTTATATATTTATATAAAAAAATAGTATAGTGAATTAAATAAAATCTGAAATGTCCATCAGTAGAATAAGACCTGGACTGAATTTAGCCTTGTTATACTTTTATATCTGAGGTGTGATAGGTTACATATGAGGTGTTCTCACAAGCAGAACTAAAGACTAAAGAAAAAAGCTGAAAATATAAATATCAGGTGAGACAAATATTTCCTCAGCGGAAATAATTTAAGTACAATTCCAGGGTCTATTTAAAAACAGGACGGCTCTTAATCCGTGAGATCAGCAAAGGGCAGGACATCATTGGTCTATCCACTTCTGCTCCAATTTGCTCACAGCGTGACACTATTAGACCCCAAACCAAACCTCATTAAAGAGAAATATGGAAACTTGGGGAACTTCCAAAACTTTCCAACTTCTCTCCCTCCCCCTTGCTAAGTGTGAAGACAAAACAGTGGACCATGGAGAGAAGGGTGCATGAAGAATGGCAGCTGATCCTTGGGACTGAGAGCACAAGGAAGGAAGAGAGGCAAAGAAGGGAAAGTAAACCTTTGATGAGTAAGACTTTTTGTTAAGCGAGAGGCTTAACTTTAAAATATTCTGGGTGGTAGTGAAATGGGGGTTGACCAATGGCCCTGATCTCAGCCACACACTGGGGCACTGAGGTTAATGGTGGATAAAGATTAAAAAAAGGGGGTTGCTTCGCCTGATCTCCAAGCACCCACACCCCACAGTTTTCACATTCTCCACCAATCCCAAATCAGCTCGACAATTGAGGCTGCCAATGGGGAATGATATAAGTCCCTTTGATTTTAGCCTCTACCCCCTCGACTGCTCGGAGCGCCCAGGGTAAAGACCCGTGGAGGTTTCCCCTGTTTGCCCACTCACAGGGAGACAGTTAGCAGGTTCAGAGAAACCATTTGAGGATTGGAAATGGAATGACAAGCAGTCTCTGATCTATGACAAGAAATCAATTTCAAACTGGAAATGTGAGCAGAGGGTTTTTCAGTTCAAACTTCAGCTTCTTTAAAGGAGCCAAAGGTTAACTTAATTGCTGTAGATTTTTATATACTGTATGTCCACACAATTACACTTTTTTGCAATGATTAGAAGGGCTTTTTAGGCCAGCAGATATGCAGTAAAAGTTCATCTTTGAAGATTTAACTGAATATTAGATAAATTAAGAACAAACATTTAAATCTCTTTAAGTTGTGAATGGAAATCTGGTCTCTAATTGACTCTGGAAAGACAGGACTGTTGGGGAACTGGACCTACTCAGCATCTTCGCTCCTGTCAGTACGCTCCAGTACGCTTTAATCATATATGTACCTCAAAGGTGCCACTTCCCTACAGTAAAAATTTTCTCCATTAGGTTGGGGACAGAACATCTTAAATAAAACGGTTCAAAGCAAGTGGACTGCAATTTCCAGCTCCAAGCCTAAAATCACCTCTGTATATTAAAGCTCTACTGTCTACTTAAATAATTTATAATATAATATTGAACATACCTGTAAAAAATAAATTTCAATTCAAGCAGTCACACACACACACACACACACACACACACACACACAACACTCTTCCACCCAAAACTTGATTAATCACTGCCATACTTAAAGTTCCAAACATACACCAAATTAAAAGGTTTACCATTTCTTCTCATTATCAGTGGCTGAAAGTGTTTGGAGATGTGTGTATGTGCACTTTTGCGGCCTGGATACATGAGTGTATGTGAGCGATCTAATCAATAGAATGGCTACAAAAGTCATGTTGGAGATGTAATTGGTGCCTCCCATTATGTGGCCTGAGATTCTTGACACCCGTTTGCAGAGCGACCTGGTGACAAACACCATTGTTGTGTCATTAGTTTTGAAAAAAGGGAATGTCTTTGATCATTTCCAGGTTTTGCAACACTACAAAGGTACAAAATCAACCAAACAGTTAATATGAACTAATTTACATATATTATTTAATATCTCCCATAATTTCACTCATCTGTGTTTATTGCACTGTAGCAACACTGTGCTTGAGAAATGTATAAAATTTGTGTTTTGGCATCTGAAAGTTACAAATGAAGAAAGTCATACATTCCAACATCATGATGGTTCTAAATGATGAAAGAGGTTAGGCCCTAAAATTGCTTTTACTTATTTTATTCTGGGGTGAAATGTTACTCCTAAAATACTTTGCTTTGTTCAATAAAATCTCATTATATTATGTGAAATCTTCTATGTGCCTCTATTCATATTAGAATCAGATGGATACCTTCTAGACCATATATCAAACATTGTTGTTTTATTGTACTTTCTATTACCTGGCTCTGCTGTTTCGTCATTTCACCACCCAGGACTTTGTTATTCTAAAGCCAAACCCCACCAACATTTATGACTGTTGTGGCTCATTACACTAGAAACATTAGTCTGGGAGAAAACACAATACCAGACATGCAAGGACAATGAAAACCACCTTCACTTACCACTTAGGACTTTACAGTGTGTGTTGTCTGCTTTTCTCTATGGGTGCAGAGTGTGCATGTGCATATTTCATCCTAAAAAGAAAAAAATAGATGTTTGGACTAAATATGAGAGCAGTATATTGAACAAAGTTGCATTTCTATCTTCTCTTGTTTCTGTATGGCCAACACAGAGTAATACATAGCAGGAACACTAACATTAGGTTAAGCCTAATATAGCCCCTGTTCACTTCATTCTGTTCTGTTCTGCTACAAATCTCAATCAAGATATCAACAAAATACATAAAAAATCCGATATCCAAGCTTGCCCGCATTTGTCAGCCATAATGCATATCATAACTTCTAAGCTGGAGTAGATTGAAAATCCTTGGGGTGTGAAAAGCAAACAGGCACAACTGAAAGGCTGCCCAGTGGAGGGGGAATTCTATCAAGGTGGACAAGATGAAGATTTGTTACATTTGAGAGGGAATGGGGCCCCCCTGACCTGCACTAGCCACTACAATCACCCAAATGCAGTAGGGTTAACTAATACTGTAACACCACAACCAAAGGCAGAGTTTGGGGTCTTGATAAAAATCTAAATTAGTTTATCAAGATTATATACACTAGGTCACTGTTAACCGTGATCCTTGAAAAGACACTGTTAACACTAATCTTTCTCAATGATTCTTTGACAGGTGGACATGAAGGAACCATGTTCAAAAGCTTACCCTAAGGGAGAGAATTTGCTGTTGTCCGTCCTGCAGGACTGGAAGGTGTCCAGGGATGATAGCTATCTGAGAAGAGACAAAACAGTAAGTATACCATTAGTTCAAAGCTACAGTGACTATCTTTTTAAAGTTTCTTAGGCACAGTCAGTGCTGCTGTGGACATGTGTGGGCTAGACTTTGTCTTGCATAAGTATTTTCTGTATGACTTATAGGTGAAAGCAATAAACTCTGGAACAACAAAGTGCACCTGGATTCCGCTGTGAAGCATAATAGTGTGTGTGCGCATGCACAAACAGGCATTGTACAGTACAGTATAACTTATCATACCCTCCCCAGCACCCACATGCACTCTCTCTCTGAAGTTAAAAAGGTGTATGCCTGGAAGGTCTCAAGCTCTCAACACCAAGTAAATCACAGTGTTAACCTGACACAATTGATTTCTCGTCTACTCTGTTCAGCTTTCTGCAACTAAGTACACATGCTACAGCATCCATAAAAGTAAGAGACTATTAGTATTGATGATGTTTGTGTTAATCACACAGCTATACTAAGAGTGTACAATACCACAAGTGCAGCTAAAGACTGCCTTTGACATTTAACAACACAAAAATCATATAACATTAGTGAAAAAAAAACTGAATTCCCCTCTTAGAGGAGCATAGAAGAGGCAAATGCTGCTGGGGCATGGGGGCACAAAACGGCCTGCATGTTCCTCTATAGATTTTTTTTTCTCTCTTTTATTTTCCCAGAATTCCAATGACCCCTACAGGCAACCAGCAACTGCTGAATCCTGAGGAATGTGTTCTCTGAACTGTTCAAAAAGCAAAGAGCACAGCTGAAAACAAAACATACCAACTGCTGTAATTTGTCACTGTTCTAAGTTTGTGGAAAATGTTGCACAGATTGCTGTACAACATTTACTCACAAGGTGGTAAAAGGGTTTGTGGAAGAGGTGAGCACCAACCAAAGTGCTGCATGTTGAAAAAATGGACATAAAAAGGTTTGACAAGTTAGAGTCAAAAAGGGCTTTAGAAAATCATATGATTCATTTGTGGTGTGTACATCTACATGTTGAACATCTGAGAAATACAGTTCTATGTATATAAAAAGGTTTAAAAGACATAATGGGGCTTTGCAAAACCCTTCCCTTTGTGGAAGGGCTAAAGATGTGAACCCCAAAGTAAAAACAAATACTTCTAATATATGTTATATATAAGAAATTATTTCAAATTAATGGCCCCGTGCTTAAAATGATTTGCTGGTGAGCAAACTTCAATATCACAACACGTCTTGGCTGTGCAGATGTCATATTTTATTCACTGGAAAAGCATTAGGAATGCTATTAGTCTGCATGACCTCCAATTCGTGGGGATTTACAAATACTACACATATCTTAATGCCAAATATAAAACTACTGGTAAATTCTATCAACTTATAAATATGGCAAATGCATTCAAGTATTCGCAAAGGCCTAATAATGCTATAGGCGGATATTTACATAAAAGCACTCGCACACTAAGTCAAGATAAACTATTTAAGACCGGGACCACAAACACCTCCACGCTGCAAAAAAGGCGGGTCCTGCAATGAAAGAGAACATTATGCTAACAAGTCAGATTACTGTACACAATAACTTTATCTTAAAAGTAAATACCATCCTCGGTGTTCGAAAAGGGGGGCATTATGGAAAGCCACTAGCAATATTTCTGTGGGGACCAAATGCTCCTTATCAGTGTTAGTTGAGCAATTCAGGCCCGCCCGAAGAAAGATGAGTCTTCAAACTCATTCTATTCATGGTCAGACGTGTAATTACCCTCAGCTCACAGTCTAGACGTAACTGCTTTCACAGTATTTAAGACCCCCTATGCAATGTGTGGACACCAGCTCCTACCACCAAGCCCTGCATGTTAAATCTGTGGGCAGATAAATTAGCAAAGAATGCAATAAAATAGACACAATGAGAGGAACTTTATCCTCCCTGCTGCTAAATGAGATTTCTTTGAAATGCAGATCAGTGGCTCTAGATTAGTGAATTTTAGCTGCTGTCAACATCATAACAAAATACAAATGTGATTGTTCGCTGGTGCCTTATCTCCTTGCTTCCATCTGCTGGCTGGTTATTTACTCCCCCCTGATTTACTATGCAGATCTAAATAAGTCGCATCAAAAGGAGGGCTTACTGCACAATGCCTTCTTAAGCTTCTACATCAAGGTATTTGAAAAACCGGTAGTCACATGAAAAGGCTGCCCATCAAAGGCACATCTCTAATGAACTCTCCCATATCAGAGGGGGCTTGTGGGGCCTGGCTTTAATGCTGTCTGTGTGGTGAGAGAGGGAGCCGAACTACAAATCAGACCCACCAAGCCATGGCAATGAAGGGGGTAGGATGAGAGAGATGGAGGGAAAAGAGAGGCAGGAGGAGGAGGAAGGCCTCAGTTATCGGATGAGATTATCTTAGCACAGGGACTATTCCTAGTTCATTCCATCCATCCATTCCTCTAACTCGACCTAAGTCTAGGCTGAGAAACTTACAGAAAGACTACAACAACACTAGATTAGTTACAACACTGTGTAAGTTACAACAGATTAGGTTGGATCCAGTCACAGGTTAGTTATATTTGGCAGTGAGTAAAGGGAAGAAAAAAAAAATCTACATGTAATTCCAACTTTTAAGTAAACTTCAAAGTTGGTCTAAATGCAGTGTCCTCAAAGCTTTTTATACAACTGCACTGCAAGCAAAAAGTATTAATAAGTATTTGTTTAAAATGATAAATTAATCCAATGATCAGAGGGGTGAATCTAGAACTGTCACGTCGAGGGAAGAAAAACATACTCTGCTGTACCCCCTTCTCATCCTCCCCAGGTCTGCAGCTTTAGTAATCTCAAACAGAGCTTTTGCATTATGCTCTTGCAATAACCTTTAATTTCATGGTGTATTTGTTGCATTCAGCACATAGGCCGGATTACAACCAACAATCTTCAGACTTAAACAGGGAAAATAAACTGCATGGAGAGATCATGATCTGTGCCCCCCAACCCACCACCATCATCACAGCCGCCATTCTGCTTTGTAGCAGTGAGTCTGCATGAAGGGGAGACCCCCACCAACAAGCATACAGTTTACCAGTGAACAATTAGCCCCAGAGCAAGAGCAGGCCCAGCACTGGCACATGTGGTTAAGATGCGAGCGCTGCAGGAGAGCGCCAGACGAAGAGATGAGGATGGGGGGAGGAGAGGACACGTGCCAGGCACGCCTGTGCCAGCATGTCCTTTATCATTCACTTACAACTACTCTTTACACACAGAAAATGGGAGAAGGCGTAACGCACCTCCTAAATTCTAAGACAACTGTATCCAGATTGAGCTGTAATGTGAAGGCATCTGATGGCTGAGTTGCTTGGCTATAGAAACTCATCATCCCTCCCTTTGCCCTGCCTCAGGCATCCTTCTGCTGTGTATAATGCCAACTGGGCCCAGTGCCAGTTGCATTTGCAACCACAAGGGACCCTTGTCTTTTTTTGCTTTGCCTAATGAAATGACAAAACAACAGATTTGCATATGCAGAAACAGGTGTTGTAAGAGACTCCTCTTGACCCAAGCTGTGTTAAAGACAGAAAACGCAAAGAGAAAAAGAAACACGGGAAAAAAAATATTTATGACCAACAGCTGCCTGGAGGTATTTAGGCTCTGATGGGCACACAAGTGTGCACCATCTGCACTGCTGCTCGCCAGAAGTGACAATCTAAATTAAAAACCACTCATCAGATATCATAAAAATAAACCATTGTTTTTGCTGCATCCATATGTTGTGGCCATTTTACTTTGTTCTCAGAGAGTAGCATTGGAGGCTGAGCATTGAGGCCTATAGCTTCTGTATGATCCACAGAAAATCCAGAGCACCGCACAGTAGCATGTGATTACCCTCCCACCGTTCCGCTGTCTTCAGACCAGAGCCCTACGTCATCCTACACATTATCCAAGTCCATCCTCTCCACATCACAGAGTAGAAAACCTAATACAGCCAGTGTGGTGAAAACATGGCCATTGTTTAGAGTAGGATTAGGGGTTACCATCCAAGCATAAGCAGGATGTTCAGCTGGTGAAAGAAGATAAAATTTCTACACTATACTTGCATGTAATTAGATAACTGCTATTGTGTTTTATGCAAATGTATATTTCCATGCCAAAAACTAAAATTGTGGTTGTGAGTGTGCGACTGTGACACAACACAATCTTAAAAGAGATACATTTCTGCAAATGTCAAATGCTTTGCCGCCACATTTTGATCAAATTATGTCCTGACCCAAAGAGCTTGACTGGAAACATTCCTTTTGTCCTTTACTGAAAGACACAGCTACTGTACAACACCCACCAAACCTACTCAACACCACCACCCAACCCCCCCACTTCCATTTTTTTAGCATTTTTATTTGGATGAGTGAGGCAGAAGGAACAAACCTGAGACAGCCATGACCCTGCACAAGTGTTGTAACTTGGTCTAGAGCTATGCCGACAGAAGACAACGCCATATGCCCTCAGCCCCAAGCTGGATGCTCTTTCTGCAGCCTAATGTGCTTGTCAAAAACTGTTACCATCACAATCCCCAGTGGTTTTTTTTGCTCTCATACCATGTTTGAAATAAACATTTTTCCCTTTTGTTTCTGTGGGTAAAGAAGAAAGGTCCTTGGAGATGTGAACCAGTGAATGCAGGTTGTTTGTGTTTCTGAGGATATACCTCTTCAATACTCAACAGTCTATGGTTGAAGCTCTGCTATCATAGCCATGCATACGTTAAAATCATTTGTTCTAGACCATTAGACTCTGATTGTCAATTTGGAGACAATGAGACTGGAAATGACCAACTTTCTTTTCCTTTTCTTCACTTTACTTACAAATGTGCAGCATATCTACCACACCACTAATAATCAAATTATGTTGTCATTACTAAAAGAGGCCAGAGATGTCTTAATAAAAGGCTCTTTAAACAATGGTTGACTACCATTTATAGCATCTGTGCTGTCTCACATGAGGTCTGGTTGTTTACAAGTGACAGGCTGATGGCTGAACACAGTCTGAGCAACAGTGACCTTGCCTTTTACCATGAGTGACCCTCTATATTAAATCCAGGCAAAACCCCCAAACCAACTTTTTTTTTTCCACACCAAGACACTGCCCATTTGACCATGACTTGAATAAGAGCTGCCACACGCTCACACCACACGGATCAGCAAGTAAACAAGCAATTGTTAATTTAGCAAGAAGGGAAAAAATGGAAGGCAAAAAAAAGAAGATGCAAAGTATGCAGCTGCCGTTTGTCTACTAGGTTATATGAATAAACAGACTGACAGGTCCGCTAGCTGTACAGGCCAAGCTTATGGCTTCAATATTAAGTACAAGGTCATGGTCAAGACTGTGGTGCCAAGAAGTGAACTATAAACCTTATGAAAAGGCATCAATTATTTTACTTAGGTTTAAAAAAAAACACTGTGCACACAACCCAAACGTTTGTTTTGTAACACTGCATGCACATCCCTTTCCAGTTGAGAATCAGACACACTGTGAGGTTGTATGCACCAGCCAAATGCTTTTTGGCTTGTGAGAGTTACTGCAGGTTATTTGTTTCTGGCTTTATAATCCTAGGAGGGAGCCATGATGATATATAATATTAGCAAAAACAATCTTTGCAGAATATTTTGACACTTGATGGTTTTGATTTAAGTATATATATCACCAGCGTTTGTTTTTAACTTGGCTGTGCAAACATGAAACCCATGAAAATACCTCAAACAAATTCTATATGAGACTATGAACTGAGATGAAACAAACAGCCAGTGTGAAATAATAACAGACTCTTTCCTCAGATAGGTCTTGACTCACCCTTGTGTGGGCAGTCTGAAAACTCCTTTCTAATCCTCATCCCCTGACCCCGGGTTTCTCCAGCCAAACAGTCACAATGGTCCTCACTCACAACAGTAAGAAGTGACCCAGAGTATAACTAAAAAAGTCTGAGCTGTCTCAAGACTCTTAGTAACTGGGGCACACAAAACATCATTACAGTGATGTGGATAATTACAGTACAAAGGGTGGCCTCGTAAGCATGTAATAAGTCAGACTCATTGAGGCTGACGGCGTGCAGCATATGATCCTGGCAAATAAACACTTTTGTTGTGGCACAAATGTGCTATTAAAGGCCAAAACTGTCAACATGAATTCAACTCTTACATGGGGAAAGCAACTGAAGTGGGAGGGAGGGCGAGGAGGAAAGGAGGATGTGATCACTTATGGCTCCTTTAACTTGCATGGAGGTTGTCAGGGCAACATTTCTATGAAGTTAATGGGGATAAAACCTAAACATATGCAATTTAACTGACTTAAGCTTGGTATCGGGGTCAGGATAGCAATATATGAAAACGTACTGTGGAGGTTAGGTAGGTGGGTGGATGGGCTCAGTGAGATGTTTCGAAAAGTGAAGGTGAAGCACAACTACCATGATTTTTTTTGCCCATTTTCCCCAAAATGCAGCAACACCTCAAGGGTTGAGTGAGTACTATGTTTCATTACAGAGGTGTTGGGGGATGGGGATGCTGCAATTCAAAAGCTAATCTGAAAGTGAGCAAGTGTTTCATTGTCCTTGTGGTAGTATGACTCAAAACAGAGCTGATGTGATCTGTGCATAAAACCCAGTTTCTGGACTTATTCTAAACTGCACTTGGTCATTCTGCATATATAGTCTCTATTGTCAGTTTTTGCATTCACAGCAAATGCACGAAAAGTTTTCATAGGACTGAGAATTGCAAATGCAAAGCATTTTCTACTTCAGCTCTGCTGGAAGCAACAATTTCCATATCTAAGATAAAATCATGCATCAACCAGTGTTCATTGAGCTGAAAGCTGAAGCTTAATTTTGATAAATGATTGAAACGTATGACAGGGTATACACATTAATCCTGTGGAGGACATTCATTTTCCTATTACCATAATGTAGAGCACGGCTGCCCGATGATAAATGCAGCAATCAAAAAATGGACGCAGAGAGAGAGAGTCAGGGTAATAAGTGCACCGGTCAGACTTGGAGGGAGACAAAAAAGCAAGCCTCTCTTCTCTCCCATTGCCTTGGGGGCAAAAAAGCATCTTGTTTTGCAAAATCAAGTATCTTACTTAGAGCACACACCACCCCGACAACGTGTAAACAAGAGAGTACGGGCCGTTTTAAACATGATTTAAGAAACTATTACAGGGCCACTTCAACAAAGGGGCTGATTGTGCACTGTCACTGACATACTGTATTTCACAAGGGGCATTTATTGCAGCCTGGTCTTTGAAGAGTGAGAGCTGCTGAGTGAGGGGGGGAACTGGCCCACACCTGCATAACTGAGGAGGGAACACCTGTGCGCCCTGCGGCTTGAACGAGGACCCAGCTAATTCAGAGGTGAAAGCTGATCAGAAGACAGGCCCGAAAAGTTCAGCAGCTCCCACTTCCTCATTAGCCTTTCTTTACCAAAAATAGATTTGCATCTATTGATTTTTGGGGCCACAGTGATTGCAAGAGAACAGTGACAAGACATAGATCGTGAAACAGAGGAGCTCAGCAGAAGTTGTTATGAGCTTTTAGTGATTTGTTTGATGAGTTAGAATTTTAGGTTAATCATCATGAAAACTCATATGCTACAAGCATCCCTGTCTGCTTCTGGACAACGAAAAAAGATGGAATATAAATATGGAGCAAGCAAGCACGGTAAGATGTTGACTGCTGCTAATCATAGATATGTATCATGCAGCTATTGATCAGGCAGATAAATCACTGATAGCTTATAACTATGATACTTTAAATCAAATTGCATTTTATTTTTTAGAGTATAAACTTAAGACTGTGACAACTGTATTTTAAAAACAGAAAAATACATGTATGCAACCCCTGTGTGTCAAAGGTGATAACACCATCGCTACAGCACTAAAGGAATTTTTAAAAGTTCAGCAATCCTGGGTCATTTGGCAAATAAGAAAGGAAAAGATTCCATATAGATTTAACATAATCTGCTATACCAATAAAAAGTTGCACTATATAGATATATACATATGAATAACTGACTGTTTACTTCTGCTTTTAGACATTACTGCAATATAATTGGAAAACATTGCAGTAAGTACTACATAGAAAAAAAGTTTCCAATGATATAAATGCAAATATTTCCTTATATAGTGTGTTGTTAAAGGCGTTTATACACCAAATAAAAATGTAGCAGGGCGATTAACAACTATATTAAAGAATTCAGCACCTTTCTGCACAGATAAACGTTTATAATACGTCTTTTAAATTATGTCATCCAGTATTTGGTGATAGCCTTAAAAATCGTTTAGGGGCTACAATTTGCAAACCGCATTTATAAATTGAATTAAATGTTGAAACAACAACAACAACTCGGCTTTTCAGAAGTCAGTGTTCCAGCGTTCAGACCAAGCAACGCATGGACAGAGCTGTGTGAAGGTCCTAACATGCAAAAGCCGAGCAGTGTGCTAGGTGAATTATGTCAACAGCTGCTCGGCAATTAAAAACACAGGAAGTCCTCGCATAATGTGCAAATAATAGTGTAGCAAGTCAAATTGCAAAGCGCTAGATAACACAAGATAAACTTGTGACCACTTCCTAATTCAAGTTTGATCAGAGAGGTAAAAAGTCAGAGTGCAGAGAGAAATAAGCTCTTGGGCTGAAAAAAAAAAACTTACCACAAAAAATGGCAGGTATATTTCCCTCACGGTCAAGTCAAAGGGACGCACAAGGTGAGAAGTCGTCGTCCTCTGTACTTGCAGAGATCTTCACACGTGACTGTCCAAGTTCACCATAACGCAGAGAAAATGAACAACAAGCTGCAGAGTAAATAAAAAAAGCTCAAATATTCCTCCGCTGGACACTGCTGTTGGAGACACACACACACACTCTCTCCTGCTGTCTCCCGTCAACGCCGCTGTTATTACTAATGCAACAGAGGGAAAAGCAGTACACCGAGTCCTGTTTGAATGACGCGCAATACGAGGAAGAAGCGGCTTATGTTTTTTTTTTTTCTGCTACGACTCAAACACACATCAAGCTGTATCCCAGCAAGCAAGTATATTTGGGACTAGAAACCCCCCAGGGGAGGCACTTGCTTGTGCGCGGAGGTGTGTGTTGTTATTTTTGGGCGTACTGCGACCCCATGTGACGTCAGGGGCCACCTGCTATGTAAACAAGTGTTTTAGAAGTTTGTTTTCTTGTTTTCGAACATTTCACTGTTTAGCACGACTGCTGCAGCGGCCGCTTATAGAAAGACGCTTGGAAGGTTTGTTGTTGAGGATTGAACTGGTAACCTTCCAGTAACGGGACTCTCCCTCCGACCAAAAGAGAAACGCGCCAAGTACTGCATCAGACAAACTTGTGTTCATGTAATAAAGTCGCCTAGAAGTCGCTTTATTGCAACGATATCCGCAAGTGGGAACTATGTTAGAAAATCAATAGGCCTATATGTGCCCATAAGGTTGTCTTAATAAGAACTTTCTGTGCTAGCCTACTCCAGAGCAGCCCCTTTTTTCTCCTTTGTAACCTCAAAGATATTCTTACAGGAAGTTGTGCTTTTCTTTCTACGTCTATGTGACAAATTGATCTCAAATATTCGAGCGCAGACTTTCATCATTCCAAATAAAGAATTTCTATAGATGTTTGAGGAAGTTAAATCAAAAGAATTAGATCGATGGAAATGTAATATATAATATTTGTACCTGTGTAAATATCACCACCAGCAAACAAAATAAACTAGAACACAGCTCCAGCATCCTTCAAATCAGAACGTAAATCGTACGTTCAACATAAGTAATGGAATTTTTAAACACATTTTAATTAGCCTTAAATTTTAGATACATTTAGCATGCACTTCATTAATTTATAGGTTTGCAGAGAAAAATGTAGTCGTCTAGAAGTGTGTTATTACTGAAAATTGATTGGTAACCTGTACCTGTAAATAGCTTGGGCTATATTTTGTTATTAATATAATTATTAAAATGCGCAATTACGCATTTAGGTGAAAACACGTTTAAGATTAGAGCTACACATATATATATATATATGTACACACAACTATAAATGTCATCAAATAAAGCCACTGCTAAATAAAGACATTATCACAAAAGGAAGATATAAGTAATCTTTCATACCCATTCCGTCGTACCATCACAAGGCAATTTAGCCTGCTTGTTCATTTAACAGTAGATCCGAAGTCAGTCACACTGAGCAGTGGTTAAAATGGATTGCTTTCTTGTGTTTCCTGTTTTTTTCTTTTCTTTTTCAAACTGCCGAGATGTTCGCGGTCAAGAAATGAATGAAGAGATTATCATCAAATAAAGACAAGAAAGGTTGGAGGATACGTTTTTAAAAATGTAAGCGAGAAGTGGATCTCGTCTCATTCTCTGTACAGTCAGCATTTTAAAATGCTAGATGATATGTGTTATTTATAGTGTGATTGATTAGAAGTAATGTGGTGCATGAATAAGACGTAAGTATTTGGTTGGAAAAAACAGCCTGCACCCGGTGCTTATTATTCTGAGTAAGAATTTTCAAATATGTTTATAGAGAAATAAAACGGGTAAAAAAAGAGTCCCAAAAATCTAAAATACTTCATATCTACTTATTATTTGGTATTGGTAATATTATAGACAAATCCTTCCCCAGTACTAAGTGAAGAACTATGTCCCCACATTAGTGGACAGACACGGGCTATGCTGCATCGTTGCCTTATTTCCAAAATGTACTAAAACTGGCCTGGCTTTGTAGAAAATGTGTAAGTTTATTTGATGTGAAAAAACAACATTGCTCCGTTTGAAAATATGGAAATGACAGGCCTATAGGTTATCTAATATTTGATGTAGTTAGTCTTCTTGAGTTGTTTTTGTTGGTGTCGCACATTTTATCAAATAGAAGCAGAACGAAACAATCTGGGGAATGATAGATGTAGGAAGGAAAACTGCTATAAAGGAATTGTGGTAGTTTGCTGACACCTACTGGTCCGCACTGGTATTAAACAGCCTAATATCAACAAGACCAAGGACTGTAAATAACACTTGTGAAGTTTTCTTATTCCCCTTTCTCTCCAGATTAAATGGTTTTACTCTAGCACCTATATCTGCAAACTTGGAACTCATTATCACATAAAAAGTGCAAAGTCAAAATCAAAATTATATATACATACATATATATATATATATATATTCTACTGTGATCACATAGTGCCATCTACTGATACACAATAGACATAGAAGTTGTCCATTCTAAATTTAAGCTGTTGACAACATAACAGGAGCAAACATTTTTGTAAAGATCATTATACAGGAGGTGATGCAGGTCTTTGATTTTTTTTTTAACAGTTAAGTTAGACTGTATAGACTGTATTTTCGTCACTTCATTCATAAATGTGAATAAAGTAACACTACATGCATTGCAACTGATTATATTTAATTCTTAATATATACTACTGTTAACAAATTCCTTTCACAATGTTACAAAGAAGAACTTCTGATGCTTAAACTGCAATTGAAAGAACCTGTCTGCCTTTAAGTATAAAACAAAAGGTCTTTTGAGGCCAAACAAATCAACTCAGCCTCCTGTGAAGACTTGTATAACCAGCAATAAAATCTATTTACAAGATAAACTGGATATGGGGGTATAGGTGCACTGTACACCAGGAATTAGTTGAATGAAAATCTTTATCTGAGATGGTGGCGTGGGCGCACATGCACACACACACACACCCTGTGGCTTAATTCCTTTTGGGGACTTTACATTGACTTACATTCAATTCCTGTAGACTTATCCTAACCTTAACCATAACCACTACTTGCCTAACCCCACACCTTACAGTTAAACTAACCCTAACCTCACCCTAACCTTAAACCATGTTGCCACCCTAAAATTCATGGATTTCAAGGACGGCCGAATCGCCACAATGTGAATGAGTTAACAGGTTTCAGTCCCCATAATGTAAGTAATACAAAGGTACACACACACACGGTATGAAAGACAAAGAGCCCAGTCTGCTAAGAAGAATACAATAATGTTTAGTCTTGTCTTCCAGCAGCCAGTGAACCTAATAAAATGAAAGCTGCCTCTAATAGCAATGACACAAGAGGTTCCATGGATACCCAACCCTAATGCCAATATACAAAAAGCTGATACACTATTGATTTCAATGGGAAAATTCTCTCCTTTCTTGCTATCTCTTTATGGAGGTTAGAGGCCAGCATCAGGTCCCCTGCAGCAGATAGGATGACACTGTCTTGCCAGGGGACACTTCAGCAGAGCAGACGCTGTGGTCCTCCAACTGCAGACCTACTGTACATGTACTTACTACAGCACCCTGCTGTGCAAGTTTAAATAAATGAATCAGGAAACTGCAACTTAACTTTCTTTAAAATTACTTAATAAAAGGCTTGCTTTTACATCAATAATTTGATTTTGAACATTTAATAATTAAAGTGAAATGCTACTTTAAATACCCCGCCTCTTGCCCGCAGCTGGCTGGGATTGGCTCCAGCCCCCCCGTGACCCCGTTTGGGACTAAGCGGTTTAGAATATGGATGGATGGATGGATGCTACTTTAAATCAGAGCAATTAATCCTTGCAGGGTATTGTACAATGAGGACATATAGTGAAATGGATGACCAACAACCTTTGGATTAGGATGACTGCTGTGATTTTATTCAGTAAAAGTAAATAAAAAAATATTGCTAATACATAATGTAGGGAATGGCAGTGATTTGAAACTGTGAAGCTCCATCACCATCAAATGTAATGCTCTATATACAGTAGCAGGATTTAATCAACAGGATCACCATCAAATGTAATGCTCTATATAGCAGGATTTAATCAACAGAATTATGTACAACCAAGAAAGAACATACAGCAACACTATAACATAAAGCAGAGATGCAGTATGAAGTGTGAGTTGTCGATGAGCAGGGAAAGCTTATGCTTACAGATAAAGTATGTAAATGAAGTTTGCAGGTTTTGAACATGCAAACTTTTGGTTGGTGTCTGTTGTCACTGGGCCACCATTCACACCATTACAATGAGATCAAAATTCACATCATAGCCAAAAGGCTATTGAAGGTAAAATGTACATTGTTAGTTTGGATTCTGAAATATTTTCATAAGTCCCAAAATATAGACACCCAATAAGTATGATTTCAAAAATGGCCCTGTTCACACACTAGTTTTATTTGAAAGGGCTTTGTAAAATCTATGCTTTATTTATTTTTGTATCCAGCATAACTAGACATCCCTGGTCTAGTTATATGTGTCCTATTAATAGGCCTGGCTCAGACTCACAATGGTCAGCTGTAACTGAACTCCATCTATCAAGTCACGTCCTCTCCCTGCTCTTCCTTCAACAGTATCACTGCAGCCAGGCTAGGGACACTCTGGTCTGTGCAACCCTACAAGCCATAGAGACGGCAGGACAGAGAGACAGCTGCCTCTTAGACCATTACACATTATGGAGGCTCTGTATATACAGCCTTTGAAAGAAGTCAGTGCGGCGATGGAGGGAGAGGAAAGGGAAAAAAGTGGAGTACAGGAAGAGGGAGGAATGGAGGCCTCGTCTCCCATGGGCTTTACCACAGAAGAGGAAACAGATGAGGATTCAGAACCCGAGCCCCCACTAGTCGTTCGCAGGAAAGTTTCATTTGCCGATGCATTTGGCCTCAACCTGGTGTCAGTCAAGGAGTTTGACAATGTTGAAATGTCAGAGTCAGAGGTCAACCAGCCTCCTGAGAGGGATGCACCCCTTCCCTTAGAGGAGTTCTACATGTCCTGTCTGTTTACAGTCCCTTTATCCCCAGAGGAGCTGGACCAGCGGCTGCAGGCGCAGATGGTTGAGCTGGAGAGCATTGAGATTCTCCCAGGAACCACCACACTTCGTGGCACCATCAGGGTGGTCAATCTCTGCTACAGTAAGTGTGTTCACACCCGGATCACCCTGGATCACTGGAACAGCTACTTTGACCTGGTTGCGGAGTATGTACCAGGATCCAGTGACAGGAAAACAGACAGGTTTAGCTTCACATATACTCTGGTTCCTCCCTTTGGAAGAGAGGGAACCAGAATAGAGTTCTGTCTGCGTTATGAAACGTCAGTAGGTACTTTCTGGGCTAACAACAAGGAAATGAACTATGTGCTGTTCTGCCACCAAAGACAAGTGAAAGATTATGGGCTTCAAATGCTAGAGGAGAGTAACTGCAAGAGCAAGAGGAGCTGTCTGAGAGCTAACAGGTGAGAGAATTTGAAGCTGAATCTTTTTTTAAACATGCCATTGCTGAAAGAGGTCTCATCGCCCTCTTACATCAACAATCAGTCATTACAAAGTATCCCATATTCAAATAAAACAGTGGTTATTTGGATACATCAGGGCAGACCTTTGATATAAGTAAAGCTATGCATGCCTAGCTTACTGGCTGTAGTAATAAATTCTGATATTTGACACAGTGTGAGTTTCTGTTTATACTGTGTTGTTCTTCTCTTAGGCGGAAGCACAAGCTAATACTGCTTGCTGGCTGGAACTCCATATGTTTACTATAAGCTGTTGTGTATCTTTTCAGTACTGGATGTTTGGACAGTAGAACAGATATTGGCCATGTGGTCAGGTATCTGTCCAGGTTTCCCTGACAATTCACTGTGATAGATATGCCTGCTGGGTCCTCTTTGACACCAGTCTACATGGCCATTTTTAATGTTTTAGGAAGAAAAGTTGCTTCATATGTATGTATGCATGTTCTTGTCTGATTTGATTCGGTATAAGTTTGCATCAGTAAAAGTTATGGAAACGTGATAATACAGTCAAAAACATATATGATAGGCTATTGGCACATGTACATACATGCTGGCATCACTGAAACCTATGCTATGCTTACTAATTGTAATAGTGTACAGAAAACAAAAGATATTAAAATACAGAGATATAATGCACTGTCTGTAAAACACTATCTCAGTGAGCTTATGAGCTTATTCTGAACCATAGGAGGGGAAGTACAGAGGAAAAGACCAAGGAGGCCATTACCACAGCAACAGTGTCTGCAGGTGCGTGTATGTGTGTGCAAGAATGCATGTACATAAATGTGTGTGTTTTCAGTCTATGTATAAGTGTACAAGTGCTTGACCCTTCTGTTTGTCATTCATTTTGCAGAAACAGATGCCACACTTGTGTTAAATGTGGAGGAGGTTGACAAAAACATAGAGGACAGAGCAGAGAAAGAATCATTACTCTACCAGGAAGAAGACAACCCTTTGGTGAGATTCTTTTATTATCTTTTGCACAGTCTTCTTGAAGTCTGGGAGAAAGTAAAATGCCAACCAGAAGTAAACACTGCTTATCATAAAATAACTCACAGTGCTAGTCAGCCACTGTGTGCAACGCAAACACTTTTTATTTGTATCCAGCTGTAGATATAAACTGTAGATACTGCATTGGTAAATGTGTTCTTTCTGCAAAGGTATGAATAGCAAGTGGACCACACGTGCATGTCTTACTGCACAGCGAGTCCCAGAAAGATATGAATCTTGGTTAACCTGACACTTGAGAGCAGAGCTGTGAATCACTCATGTAAAAACTATTATTAATAAATCCAGCCTGCTTGCAAACATACAGCAAACCCAATGATGTAAACAAAATTTGGTGTATTTGCTGATGTTGTAGCAGTTTCACAGTAATTTTACATAACACAAAAAATACATCGTTATACTATATTTTTGTTATCAGTTTTGGGATTTAAATTAGCTTATTACTATAATTTATTGCCTTATCTTTTGCTGGTTGTACTTGTCCAAACATAAACATTTGACCTTTGAACTTTCTGACAGGTGGACAGCATAAAAAACCAACACAGAGCAGGATATCTGGCACATCTGCAGGACTACCTCTCCCACAGAAGACAAATACCAAAGGTTTATTCATCTGAATCAGCCAGTGGCGAGGAGGTTTCTCAGCCTATGCCAGCTCCATGGGATGACTCTGCCAGCTTTCTCTATAAACACCAGAAGAAACAAGTCAGTGAGCGACGACAGGTTCTCACCTACCATCAGATTCCTCTGCTTACTCTGGATTGGAACAGTGATAAAGTACAGCAGTGTGGGGCTGCTGATGTGGATGACATCTGGACTGGAAGAGCAAAAATGACCTTATCCAAAGCATCAGAGGGAAAAATAGAAGATACACCTCCTGTTAATGATATGTGGGAGACACTTCTTAACTGTACAGATGATACCACTAATAAAGGAATCTCAGTGTGTGATGTATGGCAGGAATTTCTTAATGAGCAGAGCTATAAGGATCATTCTGCTGTTCCAGAGTCAGAATGGCTGCAGACAGCAGCATCGGTGTCTCCCTCAAATGATAGGGAGTCCCAAACCCGATATGCGGTAAGCAATCAAGAGTGTCAAGAATTTCATGTGGGCACAGATATACCCGCTGCCTTACATGCAGACACCTCAGCTACGAGTCAGCTGCTGTCAGACACTTGTGAAACTAATGTTGCCTTGAACGCTGAAGACCACCAGTCAGCAGAGGCATGTGTCAGCAGGGCAAGAGATGACAACACAGTGACACCAGATGCATCGCAAAGGTCACAGACAAACTCTGCAACAGACTCTCCACAGGAATTTAGCCTCATGGGGACAACGCCTATGTCCGAAGGCTCTGTTGACAGTTCATCTGAGTGTCACAAACATGTGATCTGGGAGCGAGAAAGAGAAGGAATAATAGGGGGAGCAGAAGGAACAGGAGGAGATGAGCCCTTCACACCGCATACAACTGACTTACGCTCAGGGGAGTCGGAGACAACAGACATGACAGCAATGCCAGAGTCTCAGAATGCCAGAGCTGTTGATAGGATCTCACAGGGAGCATGGCTGGATGAGGGTCTTTCTTCCAGCGGGGAAGAGCAGGTTACAGGTACAGCTCACAATGCAATGGATGACATGCTGGCATTTAGGGAGACAACCAGACAGGAGACAAAGGATGGGGAGAGGTTTGATTTTTCCACATCCAGACTAGGAGCTGAGGAAAGGATCATGACAAATTGTGTGGGAAATAAAGTAGCTACAGAAAATGAGATATTTAGGCCACAGAAAACAGAAGAGTGTGAAATCTCCCAAAGGTATGCAGGTGAAAAGCTATGCGAATTCAAGCTGAGTGAAAGTCCATTACAGGAAAATGAGGGAGATGAAAATGAAAGATCTGTACAGTTACATGGCAGTGAATTCAATCCAATTCAAGCATCCGAGGAAAATTTTAGACAAAGCCAAATAAGGGAAAGTGAAATCAAAATGGATGAATCAGAAAACAAAAAAATGACATCTAATAACAAAGACTTGCAGGAATTCAAACAGACAGAGGAAAAAACAAGTGAAGAAACAAAGAGACAAATTTGTGCAGAGGTTGAGACAGCATGGCAACATAATGGCAATGCTTTACAATTGAATTCATCAGTCTGGCAAAGGGGAAACAAATCAGTAATTTTAGAAGTACATGATGAACAGCAGAGACAAATCCAAGCAAAGGAAGAGCTGTGTGCTCAGAAAGAGGAAGGAGACTCAATGCTGACACCAGTAGAGGAAAATGTTGTACTGAAATCTGAAAAAGGTGAATGCATATTAGTCTCAAATCAAACCAAGGAAGGAAAAAGGTGGAGTTATGGCTGGGAGCAACAGGAAATAAATCAGTCAGGACAGACTGCACACACAATGGAATCAGGGGGAAGCAGAAAGGTCTTCCAACATGACCAGGATACATTCAGACCTTTCTCAACAGATAAATGCAACCCAAACCCAGCAGAGGTAGTAGGACTGAGATGGACTCATTCAGGGGATATTATGAAGGATCAGAAAGAGGATGTAGGCAGTGAAATAACCACCGAAGAAGTTATGATGAAAGAGAGCTTTGCGAAGAAAGACACTTCAAAAGAACTACAGCATCAACCTGAGACATTAGAAAGAACAGAGGAAGATATTAGTCAGACAGACAAAGATGAGAGAGTAAGTACTGGAAAGCTGAAAATAGAAGTAATGGGGGAGTTGATGGATAATGTGGATTACCCTCAGGGAGAGAGGAAGGACACGCCAGCTGAAGTGAGAGAACAAGAGTTGTCAGCAGAAGTTGAGAGCTCTCCACCTGTTGAGTATAAAAAATTGTCAGAGGGAACAAAAGACCCTATTCCAGCAGAAAGTGCTGTAGCACTTGAAGTGGTAGAGCTGGGAATGGAGGAACTATTCCTAGAAAGATTTGGAGAAGATTTGGTCAGGAAGATTTGGGAAGAGGTGTTTGGTCAGAAACTGCAGACACCTGAACAAAACACAAATATTCTTGATGGAAGGCTGGCAGATATGCCAAATATTAGACATGAGGAAGACATCAGCAATGCTTTTGACTCAGGTGTATTTTCCTTGAAAGAATTACCAATCGATCCAAATGTAGCTCTCTGTCAAGCCCTAGAGCCAACCATAGTGAGTAAAAGCAATTACTGCTCCCCAGAAGAAAGAAGTCAGTCGCTCACCATGACAAAACAAAGTCATTTTCTCTCTGAATTACAGACAGATTTAAATTCAAGCGCTCATCTCAGTCAAGATCTCATTTTAGCTGCTCAGAGCAGGCAGTCATTGACTAAATCAGCCCAGACTCTTAGCTTTCCAAAGGATCAGGAAAACTACTCTCAAATAAAAGAAAGCTCAGTCACCCATCAGGAGACAGGTAGACAAATGGAAGACTGTGTAGTCTCCCAAAAGAAGACTTTTAATCGATCAACCCACCCATCACACAAGCATGTGAGTTCCTCCTCTGACAAGTTAAAAGAGTCTACTAGTCTCACATGGTGGAGTATATTTTACATCCTCAGTCACATCACTCGACTTCTAACTTGTGTCCTTTTAGTTTCTGGATTCTTCATCCTTGTATTTGTCTATGATTTACCGACATTTTTTGCACTCTACATATTTTCATTGTGCTGGTGGTTTTATATGTGGAAGAGACATCAGGTCACAACAAACAAAGGGTATGATGAGATAGGCCAAGAGCTCACAGAGAGAAGATAAGGCATTAGAGTGCTGAGTGTAGCATTTTTAAACATTATTACATCATTGGCAAATATAATGTCTTCCATGAGACCATTGTGTAGATGACTGAGGGTACAACAAATCAAAATGCTACACACAGCACTAGTAGCTTGTGTGTTGGTTGGTTGTTTTTATATTCCTTTTCTAAGCTCATTTAATATTTTGGTTCCCAGTTGTTGTTGGCTTACGGTGGCTTGTCACCTATTGTAAATGTCTACTGGTTATAATCAATTCAACCAAAGAGTGATTTTGTTGTTGTTGTTGTTGTTGTTGTTGTTGCAGTTTTCTCATTTCATTAAAATGATTAGAGTATTATATAAAAAATAAACCTAATTTGGTATGTAATTTTATTTATTTATTTGCTTTATTCCTCTCCTCTTAGGGTCCTTATGGTGCTCCCAAAATGAAATTAAAGTACAAGAACTCTTTTTTTATTTTGAAACTTATGTATATAAAAATTGTTTAGTGTCTTAGCTAATGCAGATTCAGTGTTATAATTTATGTTAATAACGTTTTTGTTTCACATTTAATATTTAATGTTTTACTAAAAGGTGGCCCCCATTCATGAGAAATGTCACCAGCAGGTAAGTCATGAAAAAATTTGGAAATGTATTTTATGACATTATTATTATTATTATTAGTCATAGTAGTAGTAGTAGTAGTAGTAGTAGTAGTAGTAGTATATAAAAATACTTGGCTTGTTAACTGATGGGTGCAAAAGGTATCCTATTTGTACCAAGTATTTGCCCATATGTTCCATATGTTGTAGCATTCACAGTATTTGAAGTCACATTGTAAGAGTCTACTGCTGTTTGAGAAACTAACTGAAGATATTGTTAGATTCTGTTTGTTAATTTGATTAATTATAGTGTATATATTGTGCATTTTCTCCTTTTGTATAAACCACAAAGGTTATTAGAACAAAATTACTTGTTCAGTATCTCCCGTTATGTATTAATAATATTTCTGTCTGCAAAACAACACAAACTGAACTCCTAAATGCTCAGTCATTGTGAATTTGTGAAGTTGCATCCCTCACTGTTTCAAAACAAGGTGGAGTGGAGCCCATGTATATAATTACATTGTAAGGCTTTGTACTTCAGATGGAAGGTCTGACTGATCTTCACTGCCTTCACCTGCAGGGTAATTGGAAAAAGACATCATCTTTGTTAGCAGTCACAGACAGAATGTGTATTAACAGCCATATACTTTTTCAGTATTTCGCATAGTCTGACTCAGTGACCCTGAGCTGACACCCTCCACAGGCCACAGGAACAGTCAGCAGTTCTTTGTTCTTGGATTTGAAGACTACTTTAAAAATAATTTAGTGATTTCAAAGAACTTGTAACATTAGGAAAAAGAATTATGACACTGTTCTAAGGATATAATCTTAGAAAAAATCAAACTTCTCTGTGGTGTTCTGTGATGTTATATTTTTATCAGCAGAATTGCATGTTGCTTATCACATGAATAAACTCTTTGAACCTTAGCAGTAAGTCTTCAAAACGAACCCATCCTTCCCTCAGATTCTAAGAAGTCATTCTTCTTTTCAGTTTAAATGGCTGCTGACAGGAGTTGGATTAAAGTCAGATTCACATAGCTAATAGTCCATTTCATCCCTTGTTGCCACTTGTGACTCACATGTGACATACTAATGGTTAATTATACCAGAGGATAAGATTCAACCTTTTGACATTGTAATGTCCAGTTCACTGCTCTTATCAGATGTCTTTCCCAGATGGCTACACAACATTTGGGAGAGCCTTTGACAGAGTAAGTTGAGTAGTTTAATTCCATCCAGTAACACAGAGGTGACCAGGTGTAAGTGTGCACAAGTAGAGTGCACTGAACACACACTATACAAGGATTTTTTTTTTTTTTTTTGTGATATAACGCTAAATGATTTTTATTTTTTCAGTTATTAAGCAAAAACAAAAGCACTAATCTAAATGTTTTAAGATGTTTAAAGGGACACAATTATAGTTTACCGTACTCTCTATCTATATTATAGTATGTATTGATTATTCACTGTAAAGCCAATAAATGCAGTCAAATATATTTCAGTGTTAAATTGCATAAATAACAATTCATGCTGTCAGCCTTTGTCAGTAATAAAATACATTTTGATAATTGCATTCCTACAGCTTCAACAACATGGCGTTGGTGGATATAGTTCAGTGTTAATGAATGTATCCACTGGCGTTTTGATAATGTGCTCGTCAGCACTGTGTACTCACTCTTGTCTACACTTCCATCTCCATGAACACAAACATGAAAGTCCAGCAAGCATGTGATAGATGATAATGTGCCAAATGTAGCCATGTCCAAACCTAAAGAGGTACAAATAGACACATAACATAGTTATATGGTACTGAAAAGCTATTAAAATACAGTATGTTCTGAGCAAAGGCTTAGCTATTCAGAAATTGATTTTTTACAATATAATACACAAACTATGAATAATGACAGCATACATTCTTTCAAATCTCGTTCTGGTATTGATTCCACACTGACCCTTCCTGGTAAGGCTGTAGCACCACTCCACATAATATCTGCTAGAGTGCCACATGCAGGGAGGTCTCATTGTGTGACACTGTGTGCAATAAATTGGCAGTTTGAGTGACACTGCAGTTCTGTAGATGTCACTTGATCCCATCTGGGATATGATGACCTTTTGTAAGCTAGCTCAGATCCCATGCTGGCACCTTTTGTAAACTGGCCAAAAGCCAATGTTGGCACAGCAGAAGGCTGGGCGTTGCTCTGAGGAGATGCAGTACAAACCTGGCACAGCTACCGTAGGATGTGCAGACAAAAAGTGATGGGGGAAAAAGTCAGAAACAAGAACAGATTCTTAATGAGCTGAGGTTATCCTGAGGTGCAAGGCTACTTGTTATAACTAATTCACATCAACATTGTAGGATTATAAATTAATCAGTGCTGCACTTGGGAGATGGACAGTTCCCTCAGGGAAACTTTAATGTCCAAAACACCATGTAATAACAACCATTTGTTGCTTAAGCTAATTGTTTTTACCTGATTGGCATTATTG